ATTCTTCAATGTTATTAAATAAATAATAACTTAGTTGAATTCCCCATATTCGAATTAGTCAGAAAAATATTTTCATATTTTAAAATCTATTAAGATTTAAGAAAATAAAGCACCTATTTTAACTTTTTAAAATCCCCCTAGCGGCTAAACCCTACGATGTATGTTGCTAATTTTTATATATACTATATATTTTAATGTCCTCTACAAGATTAGCTAATAAAATTGACCGGGCGAGCTGGTTAATTAACTCATAGACACGGAGGCATCCTCCTTTCATATTAGAGCAAAGTCTAAATGTATGATATTATCTTGATATATTGATACAGATATTATTAGAAAATTTCATATGAGATGTATTAATGCAAAGCGACTTAACCTTGCTTATGTAATTTATATCCTGTTCTATATATCTGATCTTTCAAAATAAAACCCGGATTATATATAGGCTAAGAGTTGAAAGATTTTTCATTGGTTTCAATGAAAAATCTTTCAATTCATATCCTATATATAATCCGGGTTTTATTTTGAAAAATCAGATATGATTGAAATAATGTTCTACTAAAAAATATTCAGACACAAAAGCAAAGTTGACATGCTGGTTTTGTATTAATGCACTTGATAATTTGTCTTACTTTGAAACTTAATTCTTTTGATGGTATATAACTGATCGCTTAATATATGCTTTACTTTAAATACAGTTCCAAATTGTTCAGATCTGATTGTCGACAATACTTTGAATAGATTTTTAAAATGATTTTCAGTTGATTTGTGGCTCATAGTTGCTGCAACTAGATTAAAAATCAAACTAAAATTTAATAAATTTATTTTCAGTAAACAAGAGATATTAGTTGAAATATGATGTATTGGAGATTTTATTGTTAAGCCTTTTAATCATAGAACTTCAACCTATATTTAAGTCCTGCATGGATGGGGTGATTCACAAGTATATTCAGCTAATTTTTTAAAAAAAGTGATGAACTATATGACCAGTCATTAATAATGTTACTTAGCAAGGTTATTTCCCACCCACCCACCTTAGAATTGTGAATCACCCTACCCATGCAGGACTTAAGTACAGGTTGAAGTTCTATGCTTTTAATACTTGCTTAACAGTACGCAACTTCTGTATTAATGTAATACCTATAAAATCTCTAATCATGTAATTATTGAATATTAGAGAATTAATCATTTAATAATTATAAAATTACCTTGATTAATAAAAGTTGTTTCATATGTAATTTGAAAGTTTTTAGCGTAATAATCATCTACATCCAAATGTTTTGTTTCGTAAACATTTTTATCCACAATCTTATAAACCTTGTTATTTTCCACGCCAATAACAAAATCAAAATAGTTATGTGAGTTTATTTGCACAAGTTTTTTGAATTGGTAATCTAAGTTTAAAAGAACTGGCTCTTTTTCGTGCAACTCTTTATTATCCTTAGTATAATAGCCACAAAAATATATTTTATCATCTTGTTTAAAATATGTATTTATCCATGATGAACATATTGATTGAATATTTGTTAAATTTATTAACAATTTTGGCATATACACATTGCTTGTGACTTTATGTCCAATTTGATAATTATTATTATAGCCCCAACTATAAACTTGACCATGCTCATTTATTGCAAATGATGATAACCCATAACATGTTATATATTCAATTTTGTCGTTATAATTATTGATTTGTAGTTTAATAGGTTTTGACAGGATTTCACCTTGTTCCTCCCCACAACCTAGTTGACCAAACTTATTGCTACCCCAACCATACACATCGCCATTATTCATAAGCATCAGTGAATATCTTAAACCGCAACAAATATGTCGTATATCATCATATTTTATGTCAAAATTAACTTTCTCAGGTTTATAATACTCAACAGAATCGTCAGGCTCCCTTCCCAACTGACCATAGTCATTTTGACCCCAACTAAATATATAGCCAGCATTGTTTGTAGCAAGCATAAACGAGAGTCCGTTGATAAAATTTGTAATATTTTTGTGACTTAACTCAGGTAGCTTAATTTTGTCTTTTGTGGGTATATTATCACCTTGTCCAAGTATGCCCTCGCAATTTGTCCCCATACCATACACGTAATCATCGCTAGTAACGAATAAAACATTGTGTCCGTATCGGTCATCAAGCACACAAAACAATTTTATTGATGATTTTATGTCACTTGGTAATGTAGAACAAATATCAAATTTATCTAATACAGACATTGTTGACTGCCCAGTAATACAGAATAAAATAAAAATTTTAAATATTTTTATTAATGCGTTATTATTTATAATACATTATATGTTGGATTTAGTTCGTAGTATTATGCGTAAATATATGAAAGTCATAAAACGAGTTTTTTATTTTGTTTTATGAAGTTTCAATATTTATCTGGAAGTGGTAATAGTGGGAATGTGCTAAATGACCTTGTAAAAAGTTTAAGTTATCATTTTATCGGTAAATTTTATTGTCGAAAACTATTTAGAATGTTTAATTAATTTTTTTTAATAAAAAATCAACAAATATAAGTAAAAATGTGTGTTTATAATACACGGATAGTATATAACAACTTTACTTAAATTATTATACATGTTACATGTATATTAAATTATATTTACTTTATTGTATTAATATCTATGATTTTACTAATATAAGATTTATTACTGTATTTAACACACAAAATTAAATATTTATATTTATGGTTAACAAATATTGAGTGTTAAAACTATTTAAATAAGTACTGTAGTGTAATGTGTAGTGTAGGTGGTGTATTAATAGTGATTGATATAATTTTTGACACCACCTTATAGTCATACGAAAGCAGAGTTGCAAACAATATCCGTTAACATGTACCAGGTACCACATAATTAATTGCCAACACATTCCTATTGCAATACATAATAAAATATTTTAGTTAAAATATCCTTAAACTAGTGCCAATTTTTAATATATTGATTGAAGCAATATATTGTAAATTTTAATATTAAAATTTAAATTATAATTTTAAAAAATAGTGTTACATTCTAAATTGTTAATATTAAAAAGCAATGTTCTCGAAAATATTAAACTCTATTAAAGAATTGAAAAATTTACCTGGGTTAGATTTGTCTACAATTAATATATTTTATATATTAAATAAGCGTGAAATTAAATCAAGATTGCGCACCAATGAAAAGGAGGTTATTTATATTATTAATGATGCAAATGCTCCAGCTACCAGTAATGTATATGGTGTGGGAACATTGTTTAGAACCACTTTCAATTCAACTGACAATTCTATTCTAATCAGTGATTTATGTAATAAAGGTGTAAGCAACTTTTATAACGGGAGACATTTTGTAATTGCTCTTGCTGAAAACGGAATTGTATATTCATTCGGGGCCAACGATCGGGCACAATTAGGTCAAGGAACTATTTTCCCAAGTAATGAATACGGTCTACCGCGACAAATAGAATTCAATCCAGGTGTTAACAATACAGATGTAAATATCATCCAGATCAGTTGCGGCAGAAGTCACGTGTTAGCTCTGGACACTAATGGGAATGCGTACGGGTGGGGTTGCAATGAAGATTATCAAATTATTGATACAGAAACAAGCCCAATAACGAGCCCGACATTGATCAAGGACAATATCCGATACGTGAGTTGCTTCCGAAATACGTCGTTCGCGATTACCAAGGACAATAAATTATACAGCTGGGGCTGTCAAAAGTTTAAAAACCTTGGCCATACTAGTTTGGATCTTGGGGAACCAAGGAGACCAATTGGTGTAAGTCCTCTTGTCTCAATTTACACGAATATGTGGACAAATTTCTTAGGCAAAAATGGAGCAGTGTACTTTTGTGGCACGGTGTCACCGTTCGCATGCGAGCCCTATATTAGTCCCGAAGCGATTGATTACGACAATGATGGTTCCCGCACATTTTCACACCAATATGCATTTGAGGCTGGCATAATTATTGCGCAAGGCAATCTGTTCCAATTAATGGGCAAATGCAAAAAAATAATTGACCTACACAAGTACAGTAATATGGCGGAATTTTATTTTAACGAACTCAAATGCACGTTTAATACAATTAAAATTATAAATGGTATACCGTGGTCAACGACAATTTATGCCGATGATAATGTTAATTGTGAACACGAAAAAAGATATTTAAACCAAGAGCAAGTGTATATTAGATGCTCATTGTGCAATAGACAATGGCCATAAATTGCTTATGGTGACCTAGTTGCTGATTTGATGATACTGTATTTACGGTACATGTAATAAGTAATAAATTATATTAAAACCACTTAACTCTATGTGGTTTATTTAGGTAAATTAAGATGTTTATTATAACGAGTTAATAATTATTTTTTATGCATTGTTAAATAAATAAATATATATATTTGCATTAATTTTTATGTGACAATAATAATGTTTGTTAAATTAAAAATAATTATGATTCTGGTGAATAAATGGATAATTTAATATTAAGTATTTATAATTTCCCTTATACTGTAGCAATAATATTATTTAGCAAACTGTAATAATATACTAGTTTTACTTATTGTGTAACATTTTTATTTACTTAAGATAAAAAATTATTTATAAAACTGATTCACACAATACAAAGTATAACGACTTGCGCGCTTAGTTACCACATAAATTTCACCACGATTATGACACTTGTCATGACAAGGATTATATATCTTATATAAAATCCGCGAGTATTAACAGTTTTACGACAGTAACATATTGTGACTAAAAATTGTAAGTAATTATTAAATTGTATTATATTAATTTAATTTCCGAGTGTTAATCATATTATTAAAAATTAATACTACAATACTTGCTAAATACTATTTATACATTATTGTTTTAAATAGTAATAATAATTATTAATAATTACTATAATTATTAAAATAATATACAGAATAAGTATTTTGTGCCACACCCTTTTAATATAATTAATTTTTTTGTAGTAATAACTCAAATTACATACACTAATGGACCCACCAAAGTACGACCACCCAATGCCCCCACCAGCCGGGCATATGTCAGGCGTGCAACAGGTCATAGTGACTGGCGTTCCGCCGGCGTTCGGACCCCAACCCATGCACGTGACGTGCAGTCACTGCGGGCAACAAGTGATGACTGAGACCGACGAGGCTTCGGGACTACTCACGTGGCTACTAGTGGGCGGCCTTTGTGTGTTCGGGTGTTGGTTAGGCTGTTGTCTAATCCCGTTTTGCGTGGCCGACTGCAAGGACATTGAGCACCGGTGCCCCTCCTGTAAGGCTTTTTTGGGGGTTTACCGACGAATCAAATAAGCCGATCGACGCGACCCCTACTTAACACCCCTTACACGACCCTTAAGTTCCCGGTTATATTTTGAGCTATGCACATTTTATTGATTTTTAATGTAATTTGTTTAATTTTTGGATTTTTATTATTTTTAAAAATGTTTATATGCTAAATAAATGCAAACTGTAATCAATGTTTTATTGTTAAGTATATTACTTTTATATTGAATCATAACAGTTTATAATTAATTGAGAAATTTATAAATAAATAATAAACTTATAATTATTTTTCAAAGGGAATGCTATTTGTGTTTTATTTAAGCTATATTTTAATTCAATTTTAGAAATATTTATTAATATATAATAAATACTACAGAGGCCTTTCTACACAATACGCAACAATTATTGAGTTATAAAATAAAAATTTATTACTAGTATAAATTGCACAGACTGTATAGCACAAAAAAATAAAGTATTATTATAGTAATAATGACTATTGTGATTCCACTACAAAATACAATAATATGAAACATGAAACAGACTTTATTAAATATAACATAAAATAAAATTGATATTGAACCATGCAACATTATCTAATCTGACACGTAGGAAGTGAAATATATTTCATGTCTAAACGTAAACAATGTTAGAGTATTTCCTAATGTATTTCAAACACAATATACAACTACAATACATATATAATACTACAACACATTTTTATCTGACACTATTGACAATTACATTGAAAAAATTAAACAATTATAATTTGCCCAACATAATGCTTAACAATTATTTAATATGCTTCCATTTCCAAAAGTAATATAATTCAAAGTATTTAAAATATGCTAGTAACTATTTTTAATAAACACTATATTAGATAATTTATTATGAGTAAGGGTTTAGCTAAATATTTATAAATGATAAAATATTTTATTACTGACATATAGTCTATTCAGTCTAATCTATTACTGATCAGTGTTGATTCAAACAGTATGGTATAATACTTGAATAATTTAACTTGCAATTTATTTATACTTTTAATTTATATTTTATAAACATTTTAATGTGATTACTAGTAATTATAATTATAATTTATAGCATCCCGTACAATACAGGTTTACAAAAATGTGATAGTAACGAAATGAATTGTCTTTAATTTCTGTATTCTTGATCGGAAACAGTCTTAAGATATATCAGATTAAAGCTAAGAATATAATAAACATTTGTGTGAAAACAGAAATTGATTATCTTTTAAAATGGCCAAGATAATGAGTCCGAGATTGATGGCGTTATTTTAACTTTTGTAACCCATAGAAACCCATATATTAAGATAAGAATATCTGAGGAAGAATATTGTGGTCTAAAAGAAGATTATGTCCACCATTCATCTACAATTGTTAGAAATACATAATAAAATTTAAATTTTGAAAGAAATTGGAAAAACAATGATCGAAATATGATCTTGACCTCCGATAACAAAATTACCTCAAAATTCGTTTAAAATATCAAAAATTTTATAATTTTTGTTCCGGCGGTTATGACGATTTTTCGGTCGAATATCTCCGATTTGTTTACAAATTTTAACTATATTTAACAGTTCTTATCAATGCTGGTAATTATCTTGTCTTTGGCTACGATATTCTTCTTCGGCATATTTTTTATCTTATTTTATGGTCACCGAAGCCTTAAAAACGTTAAAACCATACCATCAACTTCGGGGCTATTTATCTTGGCCATTTCAAAAGATAATCAATTTGTTTATTCACTCAAATGTTTTATTATATTCTTAGCTTTAATTTAATATATTCTTGGACTGTTTCCGATAAATAATATAGAAATTACAGGCAATTCAATTCGTTACTATCACATTTTTGTACACCTGTAGTTTAAAAATATCTATAAATCATGAGTTAGAAATAAGTTTATAATATTAAAAATTGACAATATTTAGAGGTTTTATATAAATACAATAAATCATTAACTTATTAATCTTATTGTCTGATATAGTAATAGTATTTAAATGATTTATTATTCACTGTCATACTTATGGTTACAAAAATATAAATCAAATTGTAGTATCACGTATAAAATTATGTGTTTACATTTTTTAATGGAAAAATTGTAATTATCAAGTTTGTTATTGTTTAGCAATTATTTTACAATAAATCATGAAAAATATTTAAATTGTGTAATATTTTAAACAAATTTATATTTTAATTTTTATAAAATATTTTCAAAAATAGCTTTTATTTTTGTAGCAAACGGTTACTAAATAAGTTGATTACAACACATATTAATACTAATAAATATGAAAGTAATTATGTTTACAACCCTGATAATTGTAATAGTCTTAACATTTGAGGTAACGAATGCTACTGATGTTGAGTTTGTTAACATTAACAAACGGGATGTAATACCAGGTTAATAATATTTGATATTAAAAATGATTTATAGTTATCTAATAAATAAAATATTATATAAATAAAATAGACATACGAGTGAAACGGGAATGTAATTTACCTGATGGTCAGTTGAAATGTCCATGTGGCCCTGGTATTCAACCCGGTAGATGTGTAAGTAACTTTCTCTCTTTCTCTCTCTCTCTCTCTCTCTCTCTCTCTATCTCTGAAAATACTTTACAATTTAAACTATTAATAAAATTATTACAGGCCTGGTGTGTACCTTACCCTGAATATGGAATATGGTAATGCTAAATGTCTTATTATATGATATTATTTATTATAAAATATATTTTAAATAAGAATTTATAATAAATGTCAAATAAACATTTACTTTATAATATTCAGTTTAATTAAGTATATTATATTTTTATCTATATTACATAATATAAAAATAAAATATAGCTTATCAATTATGTTAAATAAAAATATATAAATATATTTAAAATGCAATAAGAGCCAATTAACTTCATTTATTAATAATGTTTATCTAATATATTAAACTTTAATTATTAAATTTTATTTCTAAAATAAAAACCAATTACCAATTTTAACGCCATGTACAAGTTTTAAAATTATAAATTACATAAATTTCTATCATAAGACATCAAACGCTGGGTATAACTTATGTTTTAAATTATTTGACAGTAATAAATTGAATTGTTTATTGTAAGCTTACTAACCTGTATTAATTTAACAATCTAAAATATAAACAAAAAATAATCGTGCTACATTTTTCAATCCAACGCCTAGTCTCTCTCTCTCTCTCTCTCTCTCTCTCTCTCTCTCTGAAAATACTTTACAATTTAAACTATTAATAAAATTGTTACAGGCCTGGTGTGTACCTTACCCTGAATATGGAATATGGTAATGCTAAATGTCTTATTATATGATATTATTTATTATAAAATATATTTTAAAAAAGAATTTATAATAAATGTCAAATAAACATTTGCTTTATAATATTCAGTTTAATTAAGTATATTATACGTATTCTTATCTATATTACATAATATAAAAATAAAATATGGCTTATCAATTATGTTAAATAAAAATATATAAACATATTTAAAATGAAATAAGAGCCAATTAACTTCATTTATTAATAATGTTTATCTAATATATTAAACTTTAATTATTAAATTTTATTTCTAAAATAAAAATCAATTACCAATTTTAACTCCATGTACAAGTTTTAAAATTATAAATTACATTAATTTCTATCATAACTAAGGTTGGCCGTAGTGAAATATTTCATAAATTTAACTGAAATATTTCGAAATATTTCACTGAAATATTTCGCTTGAAAATAAATTTCAATATATTTCACTTAGGGTCGCCCTCTATCGGAGGAAATGGCGTCATCCATAAAGTACGTACGCAAAATTTTGGTCAAAAAATTGACCCCCTCCCCCTACACGCCCTTCGTGCATAGGAGTTTAACGTGGGGACATACATTTTGGCATGACCCCCCTCCCCTTAGGCGTGCGTATGTACTTTGTGGATCACGCCTATGTACATCCAATGCTTTTATACATTAAAAATAAATTTCACCTAAAAGTTAAATATTTCACCTGAAGTGAAATATTTCACTGAAATATTTCACCTGAAGTGAAATATTTCACTGAAATATTTCACGAAAAATAAATTTCACTGAAAATGCCAACCTTAATCATAACACATCAAAAGCTGGGTATAACTTTTGTTTTAAAGTATTTGACAGTAATAAATTGAATTGTATATTGTAAGCTTAATAACCTGTATTAATTTAGCAATATAAAATATAAACATCAAAAATAATCGTGCTACATTTTTCAATCCAATGCCGAGTCTCTCTCTCTCTCTCTGGTAACAGATATCTATCTGCCATTGAGTTTATCGACCACGTTTTATAGCAATACCAATGACATTATTACAAAATACACTGTGTACTGTACTAATGCAGGTTTTATCAAATATCTTAATTATTATTGAATATATTCCATAAAAAGCTATATACTGTTAAATGATATTATTTTTCAAAATTTTTGCTATTTATAAACTCGAGTCGAAATATTAAGTGACATAAAATCAATATCCAATAGAAAATATAGTTAATTATAAAATCAATAAACTATACTCTTGAAAATAAAAACCCTGTACTGTATGTGTAATTATTGTGCCTTGTTCACTCTACTGTATAACATTAAAAATAAATAAATAATATTCACATAATTCAATTTAGCTATTTAATTTGAATTTGTAATTAAAACTAGTAAACTAAAATTGTGAAATTACTATTATAGATAATCACAATGAATACAATAAAATCTAAACTGAACATCAAACTATTGTTCACAAATATAATCAATAAATTAAACATTAATACAAATATTGCCAATGAAATAAATAATTTAGAAAAATTCATGACTAATACATATGCGGTTATATACGGCACCACCGATGACTACCAGTCCCAACACATACTGAAGTGGAGGCTATTTATCGTAATAATCACCAGAATATCATTGATATTATCAGTCTTCAGATTTATAGCTACAGGTCTGGTGACTGACCGCAAAATACTGG